TGTGGAGCGAAAATTTCAAATTTTGCATCAGTCTAATAACCACTATTGCATAGTTGCGCCTGGCCGGAGGCGAAGCAGCCTCAGGCTGAAAGCCTCCCTAATAAAGAAAACTTAACTTAACTTAACTTAGTTGCACCTTGTTCATTGCCAGCAACTTGCTCACTTTGGTCTTCATCGCTAGAACGATATATGTGAAATTTAGAATACCATCATGCTTAGTCCATACACGTCCAAAACCAAACATGAGCGAAATTGTAAATTTCGTGAAAGCACTGGATGTGAATCATCGAAAGATAACTCGAAAGATTTATTTTTCTATTATGCTAATGGAAAGGCAGCAGACTATGAGCTAGCGTTAGTGCTGGGTAAATATAGGAAAGTGAAGCATGAAAATTCCAGCTGAGCTGTGCTTCGACATACACATAGTTGTACGTGGTATATACATTAGACCTGTTCATTTTAACAGAAATGTTCGGGATGCACCGGGTCAACCGTGATGTCATGTCAATTTGAACTTCTGTGCAAATTTTCAGCAAAATTGGTGATGATTTAGGGGTGCTTCAAGTTAATTTTATGTTTTTAAGGTAATTTACGGCTTATAATATTTGTATCTCGAGACTGAAACAACGAAAACTGCTGTAACAACTTTCATAGCTAGGCTTAATGTATTATTTGCCAAATTTGTGACCAAAAGTTATTCAATGTGATTTTATTGAAGTTTGACTTACTTTCATGCTCGAAGATATCTTAAAAAGTGAAGAACTTAAAAGTATTTGTTCTACGAACTTTCCACCCATATGATATAAAAATGTGTAGTCTACGGCATAAATTTAATTCAAACATAGTTTTCATGTAGATTCCAAAGATTGAGAGATAAAAATCAGAAAAGAGGTCGTTAAAGCTAAAATTCACAAGACTACAGAGCCAATAAAAGTTTCCATTAGACTGACGGATCATAGTTGCATTGCTTTTCAATGACGACTGATGACTGTTTCATTGATAGATGATTTTTTAGAAGTATAAATCCTCAGTACACGTGTTTTTTATCAATTAACTCCATTTTGTATACAAACCTTGTAAGGCCATTTTCTCGCGAACCGAAGTCCGCAAGGGCAAACCAACATAATGAATAGGTAGGGAAAATTCTCCTGTACCCGATTGTGGTTTAGGTTTGCGAATGAAGGTTTCGGTTCGCGAGAAAATTGCCTTACAAGGTTTGTTTACAAAATGGAGTTAAGGCCATTTAAATTGTTGGTCTTGAAATTTTCATTTTTTTTTTAAATAAATTGCTGTTATGGCTCGAGTGACACTTTCCCTTGATTAAAAAAAAACACGTCTGCTGAGGATTCATATTTCTAAAAAAAATCATCTATCAATGAAACAGTCATCGGTCGTCTTTGAAAAGCAACGCAACTATGTTCTATCAATTTTTTTTTTTTCCTTTGGTTTGTTTTTTCCGTCGATCTTGTTTTCCGTGCTGAGCACCAATGCTACCGACGTGCCAGGAAGGCAGCTCCCACACCTGGACCCTACCTATCGACCCATCAACTCATGAACCGGGGACCAACGGCTTTACTTCCCATCCGAAGTAAGGCGTGATCAGAGATGTTATGCCTCAGAACATCCCGGCGGCGCCGACTGGGATTGAACCCAGGCCTGCTGGGGTGAGAGGTAATCACGCTTACCACTACACCACCGGCGCCGTTATGTTCTATCAATCTAATTGAAACTTTTATTGGCTCTATTGTCTTGTGAATTTTAGCTTTAACTACCTCTTTTCTGATTTTTATCTCTCAATCTGTGGAATCTATACGAAAACTATGTTTCAACGAAATTTCGAGAACAGTATAAGAAACATTATGCCGTAGACTACACATTTTTAAATCATATTGGTGGAAAGTTCGTAGAACAAATACTTTAAAATTCTTTGCTTTTTAAGATATTCTCGAGCATGAAACTAAGTCAAACTTCAATAAAATTATAGTCAATTTTTGGTCACAAAGTTGGTAGATAACACATTAAGCTTTGCCATGAAAGTTGTTACAGCAGTTTTCGTTGTTTCAATCTCGAGATACAAATATTATAAAATATTGCTGAAAATTTGCACAGAAGTTCAAATTAACATGACGAACAGTAATCACGGTTGACCCGGTGCATCTCGAACATTTCTGTTAAAATGAAGAGGCCTAATATACATTTCTTCAATCGAAAGGGGAAAACATTCTATGATGATAATAAGGATAAATGCTTCTTCAGTAAGATGGAAGGGTATCGGTATGCCCCAAGCGAAAAGCTCAGAAGCAGCCAGAGAAGCAACAACAGAACGAAGAACAGAGCGGTAGAAGTACGTACGCAAGCTTAGTAACCAGAGGTGATTCCTAGGAGAACAGCGACAAGAAATATGCTTGAATAGGACATGGTACAAATTCCCGTGACGACCCCGGTGGCCGACATGAATGCAGAGAAAACTAGCCCAAACGAATCCCATAATCAGCAACCCAGTTACCGGGATAACGTCTACTACAAGATAGCTTTGAAAATACGGAAGAAGCAGGAAGGAAAATAATACAAGGAAAAAAATAAATGCGCGAAGCCAGGAAGAAAATAACTACAAACCTTGATTTTTGTATAATTCTCTTATTATTGCGGTTAACGCAAAGCACACATGATCGGAAGAACACATTTGTGAAGAAATCTACGGCATCCGGTGGGGTTTGAACCCAAAATCCCATTCAGTATACGGGTGCATTAGGGGCTATTCATAAACTACGTTGACTCTTTAGGGGGGTTGACAAATGTCTACAGTCCGTACAAATTTCCAATAAATAGTATTCATTAGAAATAAATGAAAAATTTGATTTTCGGTTAATAAAAAAAAAAACAATGTGCATAGTCATGAAATTCCGGGATTATGTTTGTTGTTTATTAATATACAAGCAATGCGTTATGATTTTTTTTTATAAAATATATTGACGTCACTAAGAGAAACAGCTAGTTAAGTAAAAGATGTCCAATATTGGTCACCCAAATCTCAGATGATTGTGTAAAATTTTGTGAAATTATAGGATGCTAGTTTTTCCAAAAGCCCTGAAAAGTAAATAAAAGCTTATTGGTAAACATAAAGATTCTACGATTTTAGTGACGGAATAATCTTAGCTGGATCTATTGTTCTGACCAGTGCTGTAAATTCTCAAAATCAATTGAACATTTTTGATGAAAATAAGAACAGCAGTTATTCGCTGTCAAAGGGGACCTCCTTCGATGGGTGATATCACTTGCTTAGTCATTTGACGAAGGCATTAATCATTCTCATTTGAGAAACGTTTGATATAACTCAATTGAGTGTAACCTGCACATAACAGGAGCTCTGGTCGACATTCTGGCGAAAAAGCTAAGCCAACACGACACCAACCTGACTTGTACCAAACCCCAACACGATGTTGACCCGACATAAACCTAAAATTGACCCGACAACAACACGACATTGGGCCGATATCGACTTTAAATTTGCCTTACACTGATCCAACATCGGGTCGACTAGTCGATGTGGGACCATTTTGCTGGGTTTCTTCCTTACTCCACTGTCGTATATCAAATGATAGTGAGTGACTCAATTGACAGTGACAATATGAGCTTCGAATGAGAAAGGGGCTCTTCAAATTATGGTCATGTGAGAATTCGTGTTCACAGAATTGATTGAATGGTTGTATTGGTTCATCTTCAATCGAATGATATAAAAATTACCAGCACTGGTTCTGACAAGCACTGTATTGTCAGTACACTTTTAGTCAAAAAGCACATGTTTTGAAACCGAAGCAACAATGAAATAAATATATTTAATAATATCATATTGCTAGTCTAGAAAGATATTCAATTGTTGAGATATTATAGACACTCCCTTCCATAGGTAAACAGTTTTTTATTTGTAAATATATTCGTCTGTACAGGCTCAATCGAATAAACTTTACACAGCCTAGTTATCATTTGCGTTATACATACTTAATCTTAATCTTTAATCTAGAGTTACAGGAATTGAACCGAATGTTCGTGGTCGTCTCGAGGTTAGTGGAGATTTAAAATTTTAAGGTTGGGGAGAAGGAGAAGGAGATTTGAAATATGATTTACGATGCAAATCATTCACTATTTCTAAAACAAGAGCTTATTTCTAGTTCACTTGATATCAGCATTGTAATTTCACAATTATTATAAAAACAACCATTATAGGTAGACAGTTATCCCAACCATTTAAAAAAATCAGTTAGAGATACACTCCAAGATGCTAGAAACTATCAACTCGCTTAGTTTCCCTCACTAGCCGTAAACAATTATTTAACTATTTACGGATAGCCTGCGAACTTTTGTCCCACTACTAAACAAAATCTATTATTTTAAAACTGAAGATGAGGTCATCGGTTACTAGTAAAATATGCAATTGTATGATAACTGGTAACATGACATGAAAAGAAAACAAAATCATAACTTAATTCCTTTTATAAAAACATTTTTTTTTGTAATCGCTTCAATCTCGAATTACTTTTCATGAAAAGTATGTGCACAAAAAAAATATAACGGAATTTGTCCAACCCTCAAGACTTGTGATGTAATTCTTAGCATCCATAGCACTAGCTTTAATAATATTGGTATTGATACAGCGATTGATTTTTAATTCGTGCGTTCGGCAACTCTGAAAACTAAGTGTGTAAACCATGTCTAACCTCCATGATCCCAGGTGCAATTTTCTTTGCCCAATATATTTTGATGTAAGAAGGGTTATCTCGCCGATAGACGAGAGTGGATAACTGGTTGATTATTTACATATACAAATGCAAGTGGTATTTACTTGTTTCTTGCATTTGGATAGAAAGTTGATTCGATTGCTGAAAAGGATTCGTTCAAATTTTCAAAACGAATCCTCCAAACATTCGACTTAGAATTCTATATGATCGCAAATCCACCATCCTTCTAGAAATAATTTCAAATTTTTGTAATTTCATTCACAGAACTACTGTCCCTGTTTGGACCCAAGAACCAATTTTTGTCTTATCTAGACGATCAGAACAAGACAATCAGAAGTAAGTGAGGAATTATTCCCTATTTAAATACATTGCAGATCAGTGTGCTGGTGGTATTGTTTTATCTATGCACAATTATTTGGACAGTTGAGGATGATTAATTGAAAAATTTAGAAATTCAACTGTCTATACCATGGAAACAAATACCAAATTTTCGGATAGACTATTTTTTCTATACAAAATTTACCAAATTAGTCCCAGCTCTAAGCACCGTTCTTCTGACTCGTGTTTAACACTGTGCCTCAATACAAAGAATCATCACCCGATCGGGCATTGTTTAAATTAACATTCTCCACCTAATTGATTCTTAAGATTTTCCACCACCATTCTCAAAACAATCTCCTTGGTTGGAAATTTTTGGGAAGGAAAATTTACGACCATTCCAAGTGCCATATATCTTCAGACGATGAGCATCAAGCACATCCAAAGCGGGAAAATTTGTGGAGAACACACAAACAGGAACCCAACCGTATGATGATCCATCATCAAGCTGAAGATCGGGAACGGTTGCACATCCGAACAGAAAGGTCATAAAGATTACTCAAATAGATCATCGACCACAAGGCAGTGTTGAAAAACGATTATTTAATTATTTCGTCAGACAAATGGTTGCATACCTTTTTCCTCGACGACGACGACGGCCTGGAATGAGTTTCCTCAATGAATGGAAATGTTTCCATCATGTCGAACACGCAACACGCGCCGACGATATTCATCTCAATCACTTTTCATATTTCAAACAACACACGACCTCATACCGAACGATTAGTCGTGGAAAACGACGCGACGACGACGTCGAACAACAAGCCGTTGGCGTTTGGTTGATCATGCGGCCAGAAAGACATGATGATTTACAAACGGAAAGTTGGAAACGAAAATAAACGATCAGTATCACAAAAGAAGCATGTTTTGAAATTAATGTATTGTAAATGTTGATTTAAGTGTATGCAAAGTAAAAGAAATTCAACAGATAAAAGAGAAACAAACAGCGTGCGAAGCAAGGAAACGTGAAATGTGTCGCATGTGTTGTGACATGATTAAATTCTTGATTATTATTGAAGATCTCATTAAGTTTTACTGAAATCACAAAATTTATAATAATATTTCAATATTTCTGAACACCTTCTTACATTCTTAACCGCACAATAATTCAATCCAACACAATACAGTGGTGTAACCTCTTGTTTCATCTTTGTATTTTTACTGAATCAAAGAAATCCCGAAACGAGTAAGAACAAAACTTCGTAAATTACACATTGCACTTAGCCGGCACTCGCGTTCAAACGTAAACACAAACATGACAATCCATTCCTTTGCCGATGCCACCACCATATGGTTGCAGCTGGAAATTCCTTTGCTTTGTTTAGATCTTCACATTGTTTGGATGTTTCGCATTAAAACCGCGGCCCTTGGCTCCGGGCCGAAATGAAGCAACCCGAAGTCTATGATTTCTGTTGATTTAGACTTGCCTTCCCCGAACGAGTACTAAACAATAGGAGTTCAATTCCCAATACTTGCGTTATTTTTAGACTTGATACAACTCCCCGGCAATTCGGGTTCATAACTTTGCGCGGAAGAGAGGAAGTTAATTTTGCGTCTAACGATTGAATCGTACCGCACACTGCCGGTCAGTCGGCAAACATCTACCACCATCCAAATCCAAAGGTACCGACGCTCAGTGGCATGAACGGATGGTCAACAAATCATGATGAGGCTATAATAAAAATCTACAACCGTGACGGCTCTAATGAGCCCCATCAAAAGTGTGCCGAATCCAACTCATGTCCCAGCATCATCAACACCGGGCGTCACGATGTTTTCGGATGGTCCCCGCCGTATATGACCCCAATAATAACAATAATGGTGTCGTTTAACCATTTTGCGGCTAACTAATTTTATGATTTCAAATTCAAATCTACACAGCATGCCGATGGACGCTGGTGGTAAGAACGGTAGTCGGGCTGCAATTTCTAATTTAATCAACAATTAATTAGCTTTAATTGAAGCAATAATCCACAAACTATCATCATTGTACCCTGCTGGTCAATGTTAGTGCAGCAATAGACCAGAGTACGAGAAACTATTTGCAGTTTTATTGGCCCTTGAGTGCTACGCCCCTTTGCTGGTGGGTGTCATGGTTCGTTACTACTAGGAATGATTGCATCGAAAATGTGTTTAGCAATACGGTTTATTTATGTATATGTACCTATATTTAGCATGAGGCTCTAATAAGTATAAACCGATAGTATAATCAAGCTGAAACCAGAGCGGCGCCGATGGTGTACTGGTAAGCGTGATTGCCGTTCACACCAAAAGGGCCTGGGTTCAATCCCAGTCGGTTCTTCATCCAGGATCGATTGTTTTTTATACATATGGTTCAAGATTGAACAATCAAGTGGGAGCAGGAATAACTGGCCCAGGGATAGAAATATCGCCAACTGTGTTCTAAGCTGAAATCCAAGCAATTTTAGAGTGTTCCATTATATGTTTGCGTAGAAACTATAAGAGTTCAAATATATGCGTCATGTCCTACAGTAGTCAAGCTGCTCTAAATGCTTTAATGTCTGCGACATGTACATCAAAACTTGTCTGGGAGTGTGTTCAATCACTTCAAAAATTGTCTTGTCATAATCAAGTCAACTTATATTGGGTTCCTGGTCATTGCGGTATTGAGGGAAATGAAAGAGCTGATGCACTAGCAAGACTCGGATCTTCTCATAAGTTCATCGGGCCAGAGCCCTTTTGTGGCTTATCGGTTGCATCTCTTAGAATGGAGCTAAAAGCGTGGGAATCTTCAAAAGTGGAGGAAAACTGGAAGAAAACTTCCATTGCTAGGCAGTCGAGGCGATGCATTAATCCAAACATTTATGTGACCCACAAAATCCTGGAACTTTCTAAGAAAGAGCTTAGTATATATGCAGGTCTTATAAAAGGTCATTGTCCGAGTCGTTATCACTTGAAGCTGATTGGAAAACTTCAAGATTATGTATGTCGCTTCTGTGGCATAGAAAAGGAAGACTCGGAACATTTGCTATGCCACTGTCCGGCAATTTTCAATAAAAAGCGTAAGTTCTTCGACAAGGGGCTGATAGAACCCTTTGACATTTGGAGAACAACTCCCAGTACGGCAGTGCACTTTATTTGAAGTATAATGCCGTGCTGGGATAATGCTATTAGTCAAACGATGGCGATCACTCCTAATAATAGTGATACGGCATCTTGATATAGTTAAAGAAAAAAATTGGGAATATATCACAATAGATCAGAAAAATGGTCGCAGTGATGAAAATACCCGACAAGGAAAAAAAAAATCCCAGTCGGCGGCATAAAATTTCTGAACACGCCTTCATTCGGAAGGGAAGTAAAGCCGTTAGTCCCCGGTCAATGAGTTGATGAGTCGATATGTAGGATCTAGGTGTGGGAGCTACCTTCCTGGCGTCAGAAGCATTGGTTCTCAGCACGGAAAACAAATCAAGAAAAAAATATTTTACGATATGTACAAAAAGTGTATCAAACCTGTTTTGTCACACTGTCCCAAGTTTATAAGAAGACCTAAATCTAAAATCATAAAAGTACCTAATAATTTTTTTTTTGTTTTTATACAGTTAAGGGGTTACGCCTACCTGCAAGACCGAAAAAAAGCGAAAGTTTGGATTTTTTTCTCGAAAACGTCGCAACATATTGAAAATCGGTTTTCTGCCGTTTATTGAACACACATAACTGGTGCCCCGCACGGCTGCTCCTCGTGGACGATGTTCTAAAAAACGCTTTTTGCGGTGCCCTTCTGCGGTTTGTGATGTAATCATCTGAAATAAAAAAAAACCATGCCAAATCGTTAAGCATGTGATAAACTAGTCCTTGATCGTTTGAAGAAAAGACAAATGACACCGTCTTCAACCAGAGGTTGTACAGACTGAATACTTAACACTAGACAACGGACAACACTCAACACCCAGTAGACCAGTAGGGAAATTTCCGGGTTGCGAAAAGTTCCACCGGCTGGAGCGGGAATCGAACCCTCAACTTCGTGGCACTCACAATACGCCTGAACGACGGATGACGCCGCTAACCGCACGGCCACGAAGCCCACGAAGCCCATTTGGTTTTTTTTTTAACTTTTTTTTTTTGACAAAATGGCGGCCTTGCAAAGTTGAAGTGCCGATTTTTGATCCTTAAAATTTGTCTTTGATCGACTGTAAAAAATCGAAATTAAATGATAGACGAAATCCGAACGATCGTGGACTGCACAAAATAGTACTGAACAGAAATCAAAACGAATCGGACGAATCGAATGTATACATTTCGAGAAATTTTTGGCACCGGTTTTGAAAATATGATTCCGAGATAATCGCGTTTAAAGTTTCAAGTTGGGTTTAGTCCACTATAAGCGAATATTTTTGTACGTCGCATAACTTTCACAATTTTCATCGGATCAACTTGATCTTTTGAGGAAATATTCTTGACTTTATATACTTTCGATTAGGACAATAAAAAAAATCGATTTTTTGAAAGTTTTCAGGTAGGCGTAACCCCTTAACTTCTTAACAAGGACATGACATTTTTTTAAGGATTTGCAACGACAAACTTGATTACAACTTATTTTCTATACAGTCCTTACGCCCTTATTAAATAAGTCCGGAAAAATCAACAATTGTTTTATGGAATATGCTATTTTGGGCAGGGCTCTACATTTTCGAAGCTCTAAAATGAACTCAAGTTTTGTTTCTCTCATACAAACGTGTTCAACGCTTCATTTCTATAACGCCTAGCTAGACTATCAGCAAGAAATGATAATGAAAAAGAAGCACGCTTAGAAGGAAACGCTGGCTTTGCATCTTCTCGTCGTTGCTTTGCTCATCGCTTTCAATTCAAGTAACTTCGATTTTCTAGTTAAACGAAACCTCATTATGGCTTTCAATCCCTTTGACGAACATTTTATCACCGCTCTTTCATTTTTTTATATGCATTATGTCCTGTTTTCGTTAATTTATTTAGATAAT